TCTGGGAGAACCTGCCCCCCCCCCCCCCCCCCCCCCCCCAATCCCAGCATGCTTTGTAAGCTGAGGGTATAAGAGCAGCTATAGTGAAGCATGGTGGAGGAAGCAAGACTCCAGACCCCACTGGCGGTCACTGCCTGTACTATATATATATATATACTGGTCTGACACTGAAGGATGCCACCTCATGGAACACACATTATGTGCATCTCATTGCCGTGTTCCGGTCCACATTCAGCTTATTCTACGCTGGACACAATCACCTGAAAGACAAAGAGACGGCCAATGATTGATCGGATCACAACACTCATTGTATCATTTATAGGGCAATATATGATACGGTGCGGTACCGGGAAGGGTCGTGCCGATTTGTGGGGGTTAGTCCACGGTCTGTACTCATCCCACCATCCTCTATGACACCGGCACCACCTATATCTATGATCTTCACCCCCCACCCGTTCCTCTGGGTCTCCTATACAGAGCTCCTACTTTGCCCTGGACATTCTATTTGGAGGGGACACTCCTGTAGTACAGACCCCATCCCCCCCGCTCTCTCTGGGGCCTGGAAGCCTTCGGTGGGTTGAGCATTTTGCTCTCCGGAGCATTTGGCCACTAGAGGGACCATGATAGGCCGGGAAGTGTCTGCTAGCACCATTTGTACCGGCCTGTATATCCGCAGAGTTCTACCATCTCTTACAGTACCTCACGTAGACCGGGGGCCCGTTCATAACCTGGAACTGATAAACCTCCTCATCAAGTTCCTTTGTGATTTTCTATTTAACTGCCCCCGAAAAGAGCTGCGGAGAGGTGACCGGCTATGAGCTCCCCTTGGGACGAGGACCTCGGGATGATGGAATCCATTCGTATTGACCACTGAACTGAATTAGAATATCATTGTATGTGATGGAGGAGACTCACCTTGGTGGAGATCGTCTCCCGGGTCTTCAGCCGTAGCTTGTTAACCTGAGATTCAGCAATATCCGCTCTCTCTTCCGCCTCCTCCAGTTCATGCTGCACGCGGCGACACTTCGATAGGTTGGTGTTCGAATGTTCTTCCTGGTCAAAGGATAATAGAAGATGTTCAGCGCCAGAAATATATGAAATGTATCGTGGGAAATCTGAATGGTTTGAGTGTCCCTTAACATGGCCGCTACTACTATGGGTCAGTGTTGGGGGTTCGTGTAGATCTGTTTCTCACCCAGGACCCAACAGGCCTGTCAGGAGCCTCCCTTGGATCCGGTGCCATGGCACTTGTAGGTAGGTGCAGTACGGCCAGCGGCCACTAGATGCCCCCATGGGGGCCCTGGAGATAGATGCAGCTCTGGCCTGGGAAGACTCGGTGTCCCAGGAGAGTTGATTTATAGGGGGCGCCCGAGAGGGGAAAGTAGGCAGTGATTACAGGAGAGCAGAAGTCTAGGACTGTCTGCAGAGTCTCCGGAGGGAGACTGATTTCTTGAACATAGGCTGGTCCATGGGAAGGACAGGACCAGGCCTAGGACTATGTAGAGCTACAAAGATTCCCTAGTTTCCCCATAGGGGGAAACCCACCGAGCTAGGACTGACAAGGATGGGATTCCGGAGAATATGGAGGAGCTGTAGTACTGACGATATTTGCAGTGGGCCTATGGCTGAAGTAAGTCGTGACTCTGGGCTGCACCTGGGCTGATGTACCTCTCTCTCTAATCTGTATCACCGAGCAAGTAACAAGAATTGTGCCGTCATCCCATCCGGGGGGGGCTGATCGTATACTTTGTTCTGTTTATACCTTCAAATAAAACAAACAAAAAGACTATCTGTGTGGACTGGTTCTTCTCCCTCCAGCCTCTGAGAAGGTTCTCCAGGAGTGTGATGTTGGACTGTATCGTGGCTGTAACCATCTGAGGAGGGTAGGTGCGCAATGGGGCAATGCCTGACACAGGGTGCCGTTCATGGTGGCCTTTCTCCCTGAGGGGGAGAGAAGCCGCCCACAGGACGAGCTGTGACGGCCGCACGGCGCCCTTGTTGCCATGGCGCCCTGTGCGGCCGCACGGCTCGCACACCCCTAAGGCCGGCCCTGCATGGTGGCCTTTCTCCCTGAGGGGGAGGAAGCGTCGAAGACCGCAGAGGCGGTTGAAGCCATGAGGCCCTGTGTACGCAGTACTACACGTGTGGGAGTGTTTGCACGAGGCCAAGGCCGTGGCCCCTGACCGTGGGGTGTCTGGTTTCCAGTTGCATGCACGGGGTTACCCAGCCAACCCAAAGGAAACACACACGCAACACCCCAAGAGTGAACCCCGCCTACACACTAGTCAGGTAATTAGATGTATATTGAGGGATTTTGTTTTTGTAATAAAATTGTCAAAGGGTTTAATAATCCATCTTTGTGAGTAGACACTAAGGGCCATGTCGCGTTCCTGTCACCGGCTTACCGCATCCTCCGTCAGCCTCTTGTAGGATTTCACTTTCAGCTGCAGTTTTTCCACCAGGTCTTGGAGTCTCAGATTATTCTTCCTGTCCTCTTCAGCCTGTCATCAATGATCGGTGAGGTCATCAGTACATTCAAAAAGAAAGGTGACCCAATCCCAGGAGTAAGGTTATGTACCTGAAATATCAGCTCTTTGACGCGTCTCTCATATTTCCGGATACCTTTAATGACATCGGCGCTCCTCTTCTGCTCCAGATCCAGCTCCATCTCCAGTTCTCTCACCTGGAGGAACCAATCCAAAAAGACATTTATGGGAACCAGATGAAAACGTTGGAGATATTATGGATTCAAAACATTTCTAAAGTTCTGTATCACATCTAACATCATCCACGGGTTCCTCCGGACCAACATGAAAACATCATTTATATCAAATATAGTGAAAATGAAGGGAGCCTCCGGAGTTAGGCCGGGTTCACAGCTGAGCGGATTTTCTCTTTAGCACGTGTTTCCGTTCAGTGAAACGCGCGTTTCACTGGCGGTACGATTTTTTATGTTTTTTTCCTTATTTTCTCTATTTTAAAAAAAATAAAATTATTTTCACTTTCAAACTTCCCGCCGGCTCCGTCCCCCTGTGACGCGGCCACTCGCAAGGGACGGAACCCAGAAGTCGGTAGCCGCCGGAGGACACAGCGGGGATCGCGGACAAGGTAAGACCTGTACGCTGTATTCCCGAGAGGCCCAGGTGTGAACCAGGCCTGGTCAGGAGGATGTCTGCAGCTCATCATGTGGCCTGGATCTCTGAAATGGATGTATCATTGGCTTGTGTTGTGTATGTTGTTTGAAGTTTCGGAAGACTCACCCTGGCCTCCAGTTTCTGGAGCTGCTTCTTCCCTCCTTTCATAGCCAACTGCTCAGCTTCTTCTAGACGGAGCTGAAGGTCCTTCACAGTCTGGTCCAGGTTCTTCTTCATCCTCTCCAGGTGAGCGCTGGTGTCCTGCTCTTTCTTCAGCTCTTCAGCCATCATGGCAGCCTAAGAACCAGAAGATCCAAGAACTTCAAGACTTCATGTAAAACTGATATCTATGTTCTTCAGGCTCCTGAACATTTATTGGTAAATAATAATAAACTCTTACATCAGTAATGGCCTTTTTGGCCTTCTCCTCTGCATCGCGAGCCTCCTTGGTGGTGTCCTCGATCTCTCCTTGAAGCTGCGACACATCGATCTCCAGCTTCTTCTTGGTGCTGATAAGACTTGTGTTCTGTTGAAAGGAGAAATTATTCCGGTGACAGATTTATTATACAACATACTCTCAAACTGAACAGTTAAGCCAAGCAACTGTAATCAGTGGGAATTTTCCACCCCATGTGACCTTCTTACGATGTCCTTGTGGCCCCCAGTAGGACTTCTGTATTGTCCTACACACACATGTACGTTCTTGTAGTTCAGCTTAGAGTTCTGCAGTTGGATTTTCCAGAATGTTTTCCGAGCTAAATATTTGTTGGAATGAGGCAGGCATGGCCCTCAGCAGCTCATACATGGCCCCTGGAGGAGTTATCGGCGTTGCCATAACTCCTCCTCCTCCAGATAACGTGCCAGATACGCGGCAGGAATAAGTACAATGTCAGGTTACGTCCTCTTCTGGCGCCCTGAACTAAAATCTATATATCAGTTCCTCACAGCTGGGGCTATGGAAGAACTCCGCATGTCATTTGGCCACATAACAAAATTCCACTTTGTCCATTTAGGAGAAAACAAACATCCCTCCATGAGATACAATGTACAATCTTTATGGAGTCCCCAATGTCTCTTACACTCAACATATGTAGAAGAATGTAAATATTCTGAGCAATGTGTGCGACTCCTACTACTCAGCATGTCATATTAGTCAATAAAGGGGGCGGGGCACAGTACACCTCCCACCAACTCCCAGTGACCCCCATGGTGGAAGCAGGTTGGGTCAGCATATTAACCCATTTGCATAATATAAGCCCCTCCCAGATTCAGAAACAGAGACAGAATATATCACAGGGATATAAACAGCTCCACCATGAGACATCGGAGGAAAGTATTCGTTTTAGAGATATAAATTTAAATAATAAAAATCCTCTTCTTCATTCTTCGGTTCTCTGTAATCAGGTTCATCACCCACCCAGAGTCCTCTTCATTGGTTTTCTGTCCCAAGCTGTCCCGCTGAATGTGGACAGAGAGACTCCGGGTTGCCCCGCGCTCGTGTTGTCCTCTTTTTACCTTCTAGTCACTATCTGTCGTCTCTAGTCATAGTACATTGGAACGTTTTCTATCCAGCCCTACCTGGAAGTGCAGCAGTTGGACGCGCTCCGTGACATCCAGAAGCTCTTGTTCCGCCATTTTCCGGGACCTCTCGGTCTGTTCTAAAGCTGCTCTCAGCTCCTCGATTTCTGCCACCATCAAGTTATTTCTTCGTTCAACTATGGCGAGCTGCTCCTTCAGATCTTCCTGTCCCCGGAGAGCGTCGTCAAGGTGGATCTGAGCGTCCTGAGGAAGGAAGGGAAGACACGATGTCACTCTCCATGTGCAGAGCTTCTGATGGTCGGGAGGCCTTCAAGCCACAGAAGGAAACTTCTAACTTGAGTGAGCCTTATGTATCAACGTGTGTACACACTTCTCTGGGATCTTAGAAAGGATTGTAAGCTGGCATTCACTATTCTGAGAATATACATTCTGTGTACTATAAATGTTTCCTGGATGGAGTGTTGGCAATTAGCACTCAGGAGCCACTTACTTGGTTCAAACATATGTAAGGACTTGGAATAGAGTGAGCCAACACACCGCAGACACAGAAATACCCCAACTTTGTGTCAGCGGAAAGATTTGCTGCCAAATAAATCTAGCCAATAAAAATTGGGGGGAAATAGCTCACTCAGCACATGTTATGGAAGATTTGCACCTGATTTGTATAATTGTCCTTTACTGAGGACAGATGAGAATGTTTTGCATATTAAATCTGAATCTGGTCTATGGCAGAAGAAGCTCCAGTGATGGCCTGGTGTGTGTGAACATTCCAACTGATGGTTCAGTCAGTGAGTGTCAGAAGGTCAGAGCACTTTGTACCATTAGACAATGTTCATCTCACCTGTTCACTTCCCTAGATTCTGTCCAGGCCCCAAACTGCACCATTTGAGGACAAGTCAGAAAAGAAAATGAACCTGAGAGTCACTCGTCTGCCCTTCAGAGACAGAACATCTTCCTAGAGTACCTTTAGTTGCCCTTGGACGTTGCGCAGGTATTTCTGAGCTTCTACGGCAATGCGGTTGGCGTGACTCAGTTGTATCTCCATCTCATTAAGGTCACCTTCCATCTTCTTCTTGATTCGGATGGCCTCATTTCTGCTCCTTATCTCAGAGTCTAAGGCAGTCTGCATGGTTTCCATTGATCTCTGGTAATTCCTTTTCAACTGGTCAATCTCTTCATCTTTCTCGGCCACCTTTCTGTCAATGTCGGCCTTCACTTGGGTCAGTTCCAGTTGGATACGAAGGATCTTGGCCTCTTCATGCTCCAGAGATGCCTACAGGGGATCATTGGGAGGAACATTGAATTAATAGGGAGTATCAGATGTGAAGTCTGGGAGTAGTGGGAGTTGTCGGGTCTCTTATTAGAAAACAATACCTCTGCTTCTTCCAGAGACGCTTGCATTTCACTCTTCTCCATCTCAACCTGCTTCTTGGCTTTCTCCAGCTCATGGATAGTCTTCCCGCTGAAGGACACTTGTTCCGTCAAGTCTATGATCTCCTCTGTGAAACATAGCACAGACTAGTCAGGGTCTAGCTCACAAAGGAAAGAAATCACAGAAACCAGCAAACTCTGTCTACAGTGAATTGTGCTGCTTCATTAAATATGCAAAAGAATGTCTACAAATCTGTCATAGAAACATATCAATGAAAAGAAGTTCATCAAGCGATCACATAACACAATATTTCTGAGCTAAAGCCAAGAGGATCTGCAGGATCTCCATGTTTCTGTATATTATACAAACAAATAGAAGCAAACGTAAAGACATTCTCTGGAGGAAGTCAAACCTCCACTTCATCATTCTCGGCACATACAGCAGATTGGAGTCCTGACTGCTCCTATTAGACTAAAGCCGCTCCCTTCCCGGAATGAGTGTTTTCCATCAATGGTTAACACTCACGTTGGAGGTTCTTGTTCTCTCGCTTGATGGTCTCCAATTGGTCTAAAGTCTCCTCATAGGAATTCTTCATCTTGAAGAGCTCGGTGCTCAGAGATCTCGACTCCTTCAAGGACGACTCCAGCTCAGATTGGGACTCCTCGTACTTCTGCCTCCACTCGGCCAGAATCTAAGGGAGGTAAGAAAAGCCATCGCAGGTCTCTTTATTATGACTTTCCTCCTCAATGTTTGCCACAGAAGACCCAGATGATATTATTTACCAATTGTGATCATAGTGTTGGACTTTTAAATGTAAAACATCAAGAACTTCAATCATTTTTAGTACTTTACACCCCAGATATTATGGGATACTCCGCTACTACTGGCCTAGAAAGGATTCCATACAAACGTGGATTGCTGTATACTCGGTTCTGTTTTTCTTAACTTCAATAAAAATTGTTCATGGCTGTGACATTGTGACGGCACTGAAGGAGACCATCCCAACCAGTGACTTTTGGCAAACTCCCTTCCCCAGATAGTAAGCAATTGAGCCGCAAGTTTGAAAATGACTCGCTAAACTATTGCAGACTTGCCGAGCTTCACAATTTTGTTGCACAATTACAGCGAGTTTGCATTGCAAGTCTCCAGACCAGCGAGCTTGCAGAGCTCTTGCTAAGACCTGCAGGACTCTTGCTGTATACTTGCCAAGCAAATTTGCTACAAATTCAAAAAGTGTCAACTAGAATTTGTGCTGCGAGTGTTCTGCGAGTCTACAACTTGCCAGGAATGTGCGCAGCAAGTTAACAAAATTACAATTTCACCCCGCCACAAGTTTGTAGCAAGTTATCCTTGCTATCTGGGTTCTCTACATCGTCTGAGATCTCCTCTCCCCACTCTTATTTTCTAGGCACCTTGTCGAAGTTCTTCTGTTTTTTGTCCAGAGCAGCTGCCAGGGAATTCGCCCTCTCCACGTCGATCATCAGTTCCTCCACTTCTGCCTGCAGCCTCTGTTTGGTCTTCTCTAGAGAGGCACACTTTGAGTTGACTGCCTCAATATGCTCCTCAGCCTCCTGGAGGCGGTGGGCAAGCTTTTTCCTGCGACACAGAAAACAACAGTCATAGTTAGTAGTTCGGGTCACCGATGGACTGATGAACACACTCCACAGCACAGAGCAGAGCTCCAGCTCCATACAAAAAATGACCTTCAAGCTAACTAGGCAAGCCAGTAAAAGACAATAATATGTGAAAGTGGGAATATGAGAAATACACCAGCATATACTGTAACTATGTCTTTTAAACACTAGATGGCGCTGTAGTGCAATGTTAGTCTCTATGATATATACAGGAAGTTCTATCTGTATATATGTTCCCTGATAATGCTGTATTCCTGTATACATACATGTAATCTCCTGCTAAGCAAGTCAAACTAGGGATGCACTGATACCAGTTTGTCGGTATTGAGTACGAGTACCGATATTTATCTTTCAGTACTCGCCGATACAGAGTACCGATACCGGTGCTTCCCGCTAGCACAGAGCCGGCTTCCCGGGCAATCAGGAAGCTGGGTGGTGTGTCATTACCCGCCTCCAGGCTTCTTGATTGCCCTGGAAGCCGACTCCATCCTGTTTGGCCAGTAAGCCCAGCCAATCAGCATCAAACCAGCCACTCAGGAAGCCTGGAGGCGGGTCATGTCATGCCACCTGGCTTCCTGATTGGCCAGGAAGTTGACTCCATGCTCTTTGGCCATCTAAATTGAGCTGATTGGCTGAAGCAGTGATTCCCCGCCTCTTCTCACATTCCAGAAGTTGAACATCAGACTGTAGCTGAATAAAGGGGAAACTGTGTCCATCTCGGCTGACAGATCATTTATATTACGTTTTGGATGTCCACCTTGACATCTCCTCACATGGTTTACTCCACATATTTTACCTCTGTATTATGTACACAGGTATCTGTAAATGTTATAAATAGTTTTACATTTAGTCTATCAAATCAGCAGCTGATACATACTTGGCGTCTTCCAGCTCCTCTGTGCGCTGAATGGCGTCTGTTTCATATTTAGTCCTCCATTGTGCCACTTCCCCATTGGCCTTGGACAGCGTTCGCTGTAGTTCCGACTTGGCCTCCTGCTCCTCCTCATACTGCTCCCTGAGGAGGTCACAGTCATGGCGGGAGGATTGCAAGCCGTGAGCCAAAGCATTCTTCGCCTGAGAAATAAATGAAGGCGACATCAGAGAGAAGATCCGATGGGGAGGATGCCAAGTTCCATTCTGAGGCCTGTTCTTACCTTCACCTCTTCTTCCATCATTCTCCTCAGCTCTTCGATCTGCTGGGTAAAGGCCTGTTTGGATCTAGAAAGCTGCGACACCAGAGCCTCCCTCTCCTCCAGCTGACGAGCCAGCTCCCCTGCGCAGATTCAGAATTACACGGATAAGTGCGCAGCATTCATGGGCATTGCATCCAAAACTGATATTTTACTGTCTGCAACCTGGAGAGTTTAACAGAGCACGCGTCCATGGCGGGGAGATCTCACCACATGAGTTCCAATGAGATCTGAGAAGTTCACCAAAAACTCCACCTAACTTTTCATCTCATTCATTGGGTTTCCTCCCTTTGCTGTGCACCTCTGGCCCCATCCTACTCTCTAGATTTTGCTGATTCTTTCACATCTCAAGAAAGAAGCAGTGCATAGAGGAAAGGCTAATGATAGTGTACACACACCATGGGGCGAAAAGTTTGTGAACCCTTGGCCATCACACCTATGTGAGCTTGTTGAACATCCCATTCCAGGCCCTTAACATGGGGTTGCCCCCCTCCATGGCCATTAATATAAAGTTGCCCCCCCCCATAAATGTAAAACATCAAGAACTTCAATCATTTTTAGTACTTTACACCCCAGATATTATGGGATACTCCGCTACTACTGGCCTAGAAAGGATTCCATACAAACGTGGATTGCTGTATACTCGGTTCTGTTTTTCTTAACTTCAATAAAAATTGTTCATGGCTGTGACATTGTGACGGCACTGAAGGAGACCATCCCAACCAGTGACTTTTGGCAAACTCCCTTCCCCAGATAGTAAGCAATTGAGCCGCAAGTTTGAAAATGACTCGCTAAACTATTGCAGACTTGCCGAGCTTCACAATTTTGTTGCACAATTACAGCGAGTTTGCATTGCAAGTCTCCAGACCAGCGAGCTTGCAGAGCTCTTGCTAAGACCTGCAGGACTCTTGCTGTATACTTGCCAAGCAAATTTGCTACAAATTCAAAAAGTGTCAACTAGAATTTGTGCTGCGAGTGTTCTGCGAGTCTACAACTTGCCAGGAATGTGCGCAGCAAGTTAACAAAATTACAATTTCACCCCGCCACAAGTTTGTAGCAAGTTATCCTTGCTATCTGGGTTCTCTACATCGTCTGAGATCTCCTCTCCCCACTCTTATTTTCTAGGCACCTTGTCGAAGTTCTTCTGTTTTTTGTCCAGAGCAGCTGCCAGGGAATTCGCCCTCTCCACGTCGATCATCAGTTCCTCCACTTCTGCCTGCAGCCTCTGTTTGGTCTTCTCTAGAGAGGCACACTTTGAGTTGACTGCCTCAATATGCTCCTCAGCCTCCTGGAGGCGGTGGGCAAGCTTTTTCCTGCGACACAGAAAACAACAGTCATAGTTAGTAGTTCGGGTCACCGATGGACTGATGAACACACTCCACAGCACAGAGCAGAGCTCCAGCTCCATACAAAAAATGACCTTCAAGCTAACTAGGCAAGCCAGTAAAAGACAATAATATGTGAAAGTGGGAATATGAGAAATACACCAGCATATACTGTAACTATGTCTTTTAAACACTAGATGGCGCTGTAGTGCAATGTTAGTCTCTATGATATATACAGGAAGTTCTATCTGTATATATGTTCCCTGATAATGCTGTATTCCTGTATACATACATGTAATCTCCTGCTAAGCAAGTCAAACTAGGGATGCACTGATACCAGTTTGTCGGTATTGAGTACGAGTACCGATATTTATCTTTCAGTACTCGCCGATACAGAGTACCGATACCGGTGCTTCCCGCTAGCACAGAGCCGGCTTCCCGGGCAATCAGGAAGCTGGGTGGTGTGTCATTACCCGCCTCCAGGCTTCTTGATTGCCCTGGAAGCCGACTCCATCCTGTTTGGCCAGTAAGCCCAGCCAATCAGCATCAAACCAGCCACTCAGGAAGCCTGGAGGCGGGTCATGTCATGCCACCTGGCTTCCTGATTGGCCAGGAAGTTGACTCCATGCTCTTTGGCCATCTAAATTGAGCTGATTGGCTGAAGCAGTGATTCCCCGCCTCTTCTCACATTCCAGAAGTTGAACATCAGACTGTAGCTGAATAAAGGGGAAACTGTGTCCATCTCGGCTGACAGATCATTTATATTACGTTTTGGATGTCCACCTTGACATCTCCTCACATGGTTTACTCCACATATTTTACCTCTGTATTATGTACACAGGTATCTGTAAATGTTATAAATAGTTTTACATTTAGTCTATCAAATCAGCAGCTGATACATACTTGGCGTCTTCCAGCTCCTCTGTGCGCTGAATGGCGTCTGTTTCATATTTAGTCCTCCATTGTGCCACTTCCCCATTGGCCTTGGACAGCGTTCGCTGTAGTTCCGACTTGGCCTCCTGCTCCTCCTCATACTGCTCCCTGAGGAGGTCACAGTCATGGCGGGAGGATTGCAAGCCGTGAGCCAAAGCATTCTTCGCCTGAGAAATAAATGAAGGCGACATCAGAGAGAAGATCCGATGGGGAGGATGCCAAGTTCCATTCTGAGGCCTGTTCTTACCTTCACCTCTTCTTCCATCATTCTCCTCAGCTCTTCGATCTGCTGGGTAAAGGCCTGTTTGGATCTAGAAAGCTGCGACACCAGAGCCTCCCTCTCCTCCAGCTGACGAGCCAGCTCCCCTGCGCAGATTCAGAATTACACGGATAAGTGCGCAGCATTCATGGGCATTGCATCCAAAACTGATATTTTACTGTCTGCAACCTGGAGAGTTTAACAGAGCACGCGTCCATGGCGGGGAGATCTCACCACATGAGTTCCAATGAGATCTGAGAAGTTCACCAAAAACTCCACCTAACTTTTCATCTCATTCATTGGGTTTCCTCCCTTTGCTGTGCACCTCTGGCCCCATCCTACTCTCTAGATTTTGCTGATTCTTTCACATCTCAAGAAAGAAGCAGTGCATAGAGGAAAGGCTAATGATAGTGTACACACACCATGGGGCGAAAAGTTTGTGAACCCTTGGCCATCACACCTATGTGAGCTTGTTGAACATCCCATTCCAGGCCCTTAACATGGGGTTGCCCCCCTCCATGGCCATTAATATAAAGTTGCCCCCCCCCCCCTTATTGACAATAATATGGAGTTGGCCTCCTTTGTGTCTATAATAGCCTCCACTCCTCTGGGAAGGCTTCCTACAAGATCTTGGAGGGTGTCTGCGGGAATTTGTCCCATTTGTGAGGTCAGGTACTGATGGTGGATGAGAAGATCGGGCTCACAGTCAGTGTTCCTATTCATCCCAAAGGTGTTCAGTAGGGTTTGGGTCAGAGCTCTGTGCAGGACACTCAAGTTCCTCCACCACACTGGTCACACCATGTATTTTAGCAGAACCCTCACTGGAGACACCTGAACTCCAAGATTTGCAGGGGAGGTCCATGTACTTTTGGCCATATAGTTTATGATAAAACTTATTGATATTATCAGGGCCGTCTTTAATATTATTGGGCCCTGGGCAAGATTTTTACTTGGCTGTCAACATGCTGGCAGTCCCCCAGCCCAGTCCGCCCCTGCTACCAGTGGTGTCGCTGCTCCTGCCTGCCGCTTCGGATGAAAGGGACAGCTGCTGTGGGCCCCAGTAACTTATGGGGCCCGGGGCAGCTGCCCCTTTTGCCCTGTGGTAAAGACTGCCCTGGATATTATAATGTTAATATGGAATCAGATACGGATTTAAAACTGTAAAAGTCTGCAGTGCTTTAAAACTGAGTTACATATCCTGATAGAATGTTGACGCTCTCATAAAGCACCTGTATGGTTTATTGGGTTAGTGGAGTGGATCAAGTTCAATATAAAATCACTTTTCAGGAGCAAATGAGAGGGAGTGTCCGTCTTTGGCCTGTGAGGCCTCTCATATTATTATTACAAGCTGATATCACTCCCCTATATGACGTATACATATCTGAATGTTGCATTTCTACTCATCATTCCTTTATAAATGACTTGTCTACTTGAAATCACCTATTGTTGAATTTATCCCAAAGTGCTGTCATGCTATTGTGTTACGTAACCTTGACTCTAACCTCTAACCCTGAGTTCTACATTAGGGGCAGTAGATGGGCCCCGAGGACAGATTTATGGCTGCAATATATGTGAATCCAGACCAGCTCTACATTCCCATGGAGCTCAGCACCCACCAGACTCGGTCTGCAGGCGGGCTCTCTGCATGGTCAGCTCCGCCACGTTCCTCTGGTTCTCCTCAGCCTTGGATCGGAATTCGCTCAGGTGATCCTCCAGAGTACGACACATCTTCTCCAAGTTGGCCTGGAATTTGAAGCAAAATGCAGATTTCTTGGTGACACAATGGATGAGGAAGAACACATGACACCATCACTTAGACGTCTGAGAGATTACGCAACGCCCGAAAACTGTGTCAGCTAAACAGAACATCCAATAGTAATCACCATCAGGTTTTGGAGGTCACCACAAGAAGTGCGCACATATAGAGGGAAGCCTGACAGGAATGTGATCACATGACGTCAGAGTGCTTAGACATATCTGAAGTCCATTCATAAAGTGTTGTATCCCAGCTGACTATAAGAATGTATTTCACAGAGGTCGGGCAGAGAGATTAATGTCAGGCTGGTGAAGGTGCAGAAATCAGGTAAGCGATGACAATATATTATTCCCGAGAATTCATCTTTACTATAGGAAACCTTTTGTGAGAGAATTATGTATCGGCCCTCAGGGGACGGAGCAGAGGAACTGACACTCATATTGATGGCTGCCCATCTTAGCCCAGCCGATTTCAGATAAGGGTGCAGATTTCACACAGTCTTTTGGTTCTAATAGGTTGAGGGCTATAAATGACTGAACCCTTCTCTCGATGGAGAACGTTGATTCCTATTTGGAAAAATGCTTTAAGATACGTCATGAGAAAACTATTGGATCCTATTTATGAAAACCTCTGACCTGTTATCACTTTATTACCCAATCACATTCACACGTTTATTTTCCTGCAACACATTAGTGGAAGAATGGAAAAGCAGATGGAACCAGTGGCGGAACTACCATGGTTGCAGGGCCCTGGAGTTCCGCCACTTGGAGGGGGCCCAGGACAGGAGGAAGGGGCCCCTGGTGACCGCTGATTACCAGGATATCTATTATCCCGGTAACCGCTAATGGCAGTCCCGGGACCTCTTTCTCCTATCCTGGGCCCTACATGCTTCACGCTGCTCCCCTCACCTTGTTCCGGGCGCAGCGTGAAGCATCATCCAGCCGGGCAGCAGCCAATGAGTGTGAGCCGTGTAATCTCCGCCCCCTCATCACACAGAACTGCTGCCTAGTGCTGAATAGAGCTGCTGTGGACACAAAGGGGGAGACAGGGAGCTGGAAGTATGAAGGTGACATGGGGTCCGGGAGCGGAAAGCTGGGGACATGAAGGGGGAGAAGCCACTGGATGGAACACTGATGTCAGTAAGGACATAACGTCCTTCAGACACTTTGATAAATAGGGCACGTGGTAGAGTCACCCCACATGCCGAGCAACCAACCTTTGTCTTGGTGACATTCTCCAGATTGCCGTTGATGTCATCAATCTCCATCCTCATCTCACTCTTCTCCTTCTCCAGCTTCTGCTTTACCCTCTGCAGGTTGTCAATCTGTTCCCCAAACTCGGCAGCGTTATCCGATTGCTTCTTGCGTAAAGTTGCCACCATGGAATCATGCTGGAGCGACATTTCCTCCAGGTCCCGGCGCATCTTCTGAAACTCTGACTCCCTCTTCTTATTGACCTCGATCTGCGTGGCCGTGGCTCCTCCGGCCTCTTCCAGCCTCTCACTGATCTCCTCCAGCTCCCTCGACAATTCAGACCTCTGCTTCTCTGCCTTGGCGCGCGTTGCTCTTTCCGATTCCATCTCCTCTTCCAGCTCCTCAATGCGAGCCTGTTATTTAAATGACCGTTTAGAACATAAGAACTAATATCACTGGGAATATAGGAGGACACCATGGAAGAGGACTGTGTAGATGGCTACAATCTTTCCTCCTTCATTTCTAAATGTACAATAACCCGGTGGAATATTCCAGAGAAGAGTTGTATAAGAATTACCTGAAGTTCTTTTATTTTCTTCTGTGACTGAATCCCCAGAAGTTGTTCATCTTCTATTCTGCTCAACAGCTGGCTGATCTCAAAGTCTTTTCTGAAATAATGAGAAGATCCTCACTGAGATCTCATATATTGAATGTGGACCTTAATCAGGACTAAGTCTCCTCTAGAAGAGATCATATTTGTTTTCATGCCTGAAGTGAAATTACAGCCGTTTCCCATAACAACCAGCCTGGGCACACGAGGCTGCAGCTTTTAGATCACACAAGGACCTCTCAGCTATTACATTCTTAGAACTTTGTTCTGCTTGGCTACTGTTCTCATCACAATGAGTCCTACAGATGTACCTCTGCAAAGGGTGTGAGGCACAGACAGGGCCGTCTTTAATATTATTGGGCCCTGAGCAAGATTTTGTTAAAGGGCCCCACAACCCTCCCACTTCCATCACCTGCCCCCCCACTTCCTGAACCAGACCCCCATATCTACCTACATCACCTTCCCCCCTCCCACTTCCATCACCTGCCCCCCCACTTCCTGAACCAGACCCCCATATCTACCTACATCACCTTCCCCCCTCCCACTTCCATCACCTGCCCCCCCACTTCCTGAACCAGACCCCCATATCTACCTACATCACCTTCCCCCCTCCCACTTCCATCACCTGCCCCCCCACTTCCTGAACCAGATTCGGGCCGCCCGGCTGCTCTTCTCTATCACCTGCCAATTACCGCCCCCCTCAGGCTAAGCTAGCGCCGTTCCTGGCTGTCAACATGCTGGCAGTCCCCCAGCCCAGTCCGCCCCTGCTACCAGTGGTGTCGCTGCTCCTGCCTGCTGCTTCGGATGAATAGGACAGCTGCTGTGGGCCCCTGTAACTTATGGGGCCCTGGGCAGCTGCCCCTTTTGCCCTGTGGTAAAGACTGCCCTGGTCACAGAGATACCATATAATCTCGTCCTCTAGCAGATTCTCTTTAGGAGTTTTAGGACAACTCAAGGCTGGTCACACAATCAACTCAAATGAAAACCAGCACTAAGCCTGCAATGATCATGGTGGAATCTGGGCAGGGGAACAAGGAAGACCTAGCAAGGAATCAAACTATTTCCTATTACAAACCAAACAGGAGAAATCTTTACTTTTTCAGTTTTTCGTCCTGCTGTTGTCTTTCATTTTCCAAATCCATGATGGAGTCCTGGGCAAGCTTCAGATCCCCCTCGAGCTTCCTCCTGGCCCTCTCATTGTCCATGCGGACCTTTTTCTCTTGTTCCAGGGAGCCTTGCAGCTAGGAGGCAGATTAAACATGGCAGTTATTTATTGGCCACAATGGAGAAGACATGAACTCTCACAACTCAGCCACATTGTTCCTCTACTGCTGACCCACACAAGTCTGTGAATTATAGCGAAATACTGACATTTCCTCCATAGTTGGTTTGCAATGTGATAATTAGGTCAGGAATGATCCCACCCAAAACACGAACATTCATTACCAGTCCCCGCAATACTCACATCATCAATTTGCTGTTCTAATTTGGTCTTTAGTTTGGTCAAGGAGTTGACTTTGTCCTCCTCAGCCTGAAGATCATCCAAGGTCTGTTGGTGGGCTTCTTGGAGAGCTTTCTTCTCCTTGGTCAGCTTGACGATGGTTTCATCCAGGGCGGCCATTTCTTCGGTGAGGTTTTTAACCTAACAGCAAAACAGGAACAAATGAAAACTGGAAACTCTTCACACAAACTGTCCCTACATTGTTCTCATTCCTTGACTGTAGCTGGGACTCTTGGACGGGTGGCTCTCTTACTAGGGCAGTATCTTGCATACCTTGTTTTCTATTGCATGCTTCTCTTTCTCAACCTTAGCTAAGGTCAACTCCAAGTCATCAATGTCCTTCTTCAGCTCGGAACACTCATCCTCCAGTTTCCTCTTCTTGGCAGTCAGCTCGGCGTTTGATTCCTCCTCGTCCTCCAGCCGCTCACTCAGATCCTTCATTTTGGCCTCCAACTGGATCTTGGTTTTGATCAGCTGATCGCATCTCTCCTCAGCATCTGTTAAATTCTCTGTTTCCTGGTGAGGAGGTAAAATGTATCATCGAAAATACAATGCGGATTATTAACCACTTCAGCTGCCCCGCCACCTGCAAAGCTCTCTCAGGGACTGGAGAAATTATAACATTTCCAATACTCATGATATCCAAGAAAAACAGATTTCTTTTTGTTTCAGGCAAAAAAGGACTTTCCTTTGCCGATATCGTCTTGCAAAAATCATTTAATTTTTATGAGTAATCAAAAGACAAAAAGATTTAACACAATTACATTCTATTTTCTATTATTGTAGATACTAGAGGCCGCCACCTAAAATTGGTGGAAAAAAAATTCCAGCACAAGGGGCGAAGGGGGTTCTTCACAGTAAGATCAGTTAGGGTCTGGAACTCACTGCCACAGACAGTGATTTCAGCAAAGAATGTGGAATTGTTCAAGAAACTTTTGGACGATTTCTTAAGGGCCCGTAATATACAGGGGTACAGGTACTCCTAGAATGAGATCCTAATAGGTTGGACTTGATGGACGTATGTCTTTATTCAACCTCAAATACTATGTAACTATGTAACTATGGCACTATGTAACTATGGCACTATGTAACTATGGCACTATGTAACTATGGCACTATGTAACTATGGCACTATGTAACTGTGTAAAAAGTGAACGTTGTATTCTAATCTGTCCCTTTTTCTAATGGCCCTAAAACGACTTTTTGGGACAAAGCTTTGTATTTTATAATCCAATGTTACAAATAAAAAGAAAAATAATGAAAACAAATTTGTAAAAAAAATAGTTCAAATATAAGTGATAAAAAAAATCTTTAAAAGTTTTTTTAAAATGTAAAGAAAAGTAAAATGGAAGCAGAGAAATCAGACCCGTTTAGGGTTAATAAGGGGTTAAATAGATACAATATTACAATAAAAATGTATACGCTTGCTTAAACTGACATTAAATGCCAATCATAAGACACTCATAACAGGTTCTGAATACATTGTAACAATGATATTGTTACATTGGATTATAAACAAAGCTTGCAAATTATCCTGACAGGCTTCATTGCCTCTGCAAGACAGACCGGGACCCAGATATCTTTTTTATATCATTTTAATAACAGTGAACCAATCACAGACACAGCCAAGGAAGACTCTTCACAGAGGGGGGGGGAACCTGTTAGCAGTGGGAGATGTGTATCTAAGTAGATTTGGTCCTGGAGGGACTTGGTGATGAGGGAAGAGGATAATAAGGTAAGAGCCTACCTATGGCCACTGTCTGCCCCTCCTCCAACTTGGTTAGTACAAGCCTGGTCAAGAGATGACATTGAGTGCCCGCATTCTCCACCAAATAGATGTGGACTTCAGCCACACCACTTGTCTTTTGATGGAAGAATAAGATGTTTATTGACATCAATCATGAGTATTCCTTTCTATGGGAGAGTGCTGAATACATACAATCAAGAGATATCGCTCTACCCCCACTATGACAGTGCAGCATTGTATCATTAAAGTTACAGTTTAATTCATAATGTACTTTATAAGTAAGATAGGGAACATGTAAGTTATTTCAGTTGGTAAGCACATGTAATCAGGACAGTTTGTAAAGTGAAGGAAGGCATGCCAGACATAAACAGCAACACCATGAGTGCAACAAGATGGCCGTGGCCTATATAAAACAATCACACGTTCTTCTGTTACTTTCCAAGGGAATCTGCTTCATGTCATGGAAAGAACCATGACCATTCACCATTAGCTATTAGGTCTACAATGAAATGTAGAGTTTTATTTAGCAGTTGGGTTCAAATAATTGAAACCACCATCCTGGCATAGGAAGTATAGAGAAAAATGTACTATGGTCAGATCATCTTAATGTGGCCTATTGCTGCATCTATTTCCTAGTCCCCCTCCCAGCAGAGGGCGCAGTGCCGACTGCTCAATACTCACAGATTGAACCTGCAGGTGGAGGTCATTCTTCTCCTGCAGAAGCTTCACCATCTTCTCTTCCAGCTCCTTCCTCTTTGCCTCTGACTTGGCCAGGTTTTCTTTGGTTTTGGCAAACTCCTCTTTCATGGCCGCCATCTCCTTCTCGGTCTCAGCACTTCGAAGCAGCGGCTTGATCTTGAAGTAGAGCTTCATCCACGGCCAGTGTTTCACATTCATGAACGATCGGATGTTGTACTGAATTGTAAAAATGGACTCCCTGAGAAAAAAACACAATTGAATTGTTGTATCTCCAGGTAGATTGTGTATACAATGTATCTTTGTAACATTTCACATTTATCAGTCATTAAAATGTGTTTCCTGCCCAGCACAGGGAATGCCAAAATGATAGGACAGCCCAGTTCCAAGTGAGGTCCTGTACCGCTGGTCACCTGATGTGTGATGCAAGCATTGACTCTCTTTCACTTACATATTTAGGTTAAAATAGACACATATTGTTCAAATTTAACCAAAAGACAAAAAGAAATCCATCAAACGCGCATCCCTCTCTAATCGCTCAGCCTTAAAGGAGAACTATGAGGGGGGTGATTTCCACTCCCCCTCATAGTTCCAGCCGACGTGTGACAATGAGACTGTCACAGGTCGGCTCAGTAGATCGGGAGGTGAGCGTACACATGCCGGTGTTCGCTCACCTCTCGATCCTGTCACGGCTCTCTGCGTGACAGGGGAGGGGCTGGATTCCCCCCTCCCCGCTCCGATCCTCCAGCGCTGACTGGCGGAACGGACGGGGGAGGGGGCGGGTACAGCTGGCTCTGCCTCTAGATGGGCAGAGCCAGCTGTCACTCACGCAGCTGGGCGGATCCCGTCATCTACGTCGGGATCCGCTCCGGCTGCGGCGTCTCAGTATACCGCGAGCTGTAGCTCCTTATATACTGAGCTCAGCCCTCGCTCACACCGGAACGTTTTGTAGCGCATTCTACGCTCGACGAACGCTCTACAAAACGCTCAAAAATATAAATCCCATTTAATTCAATGGTCTGGTTCCCACCTTGGCGTATTTCCGCCTGTCCCTAACGCGCTACAAAACGGCCCGCGCCTGAAAAGGTACAGGTACTACTTTGGGCCGTTTTGTTGCGCGTTTCCATTGGGATACAGCCAAGTAGCCTTCGGAAACGCGCGACAGTCGCGCTACTTTTTTACCGCGAATCGCGGTAAAAAAAACGCACGACGGTCGCGCGACAGACGCACATATGCAATACGCCTTGGTGTGAACGAGACCTTAGGGTAATGGGAGGACGCTAGTTTGTGTCCCCCTGTTAGCCTAAGGAGAACTATGGGGAAAAACACTGACCCCTTTAAAATTAAACCACAACAGAAGCTGGAGAGAAAACACGGAAATCCTTCCAGTCCGATCTTACAAACGGCTGGAAGATTCTCTGAACTTGACGTCCGACCATTCAGTGTCTGAGAACCTCTCTGACCCCGGTGACCTGTAGAGGGATCATCATTTCATTTAGATTTGGGTCGATCTCTACCTTCTCTCCAATATCTTCTGGTACTCCAGCCGCATCAGGAAGCCCCGACATAACGCCTGTGTGCGAGTGATGAGGAGGGCCAGGCGGTCATCCCGCATCTCCTCCAGGGTGCCCAGGAGACCGGCTTTAAAGAAGACCTGAGAGAGAAAACTGACACATAATCACCCAGAAGAAGAAACAAATTGTGATGGAAAAGTAACTTTCATCTGAGGAACAATTCATCTAATACTGAGCGCTGAGAAGGACAACAGAGCCTGCCGTGGCTGGATTCATTTCCGGGGCTGTTATCCTTATCCTTCAGGCGAGAAGAGGCAACACATTGAGCCAAATGCCCCAGGGCTGATTTCCATATTTTGGAACACACAGTGGTAGTTGGTCACCAATAAATATTTCAGGGAGGCTTTCCGGTTATTGGATGAAGTGCGTCACCATCACTGCTGAATGAAGCTACAAACAAAATGGCGAAATCACCTCCAGAGGGTGTGTGGATCATGTGTGAGAGGGATCCATGAGAGGGATGTATGAGAGGGATCCATGAGAGGGATGTATGAGAGGGATGTATGAGAGGAATCCATGAGAGGGATCCATGAGAGGGATGTATGAGAGGGATCCATGAGTGGGATGTATGAGAGGAATCCATGAGAGGGATCCATGAGAGGGATGTATGAGAGGGATCCATGAGTGGGATGTATGAGAGGGATCCATGAGAGGGATGTATGAGAGGGATCCATGAGAGGGATGTATGAGAGGAATCCATGAGAGGGATGCATGAGAGGGATGTATGAGAGGGATCCATGAGAGGGATGTATGAGAGGGATCCATGAGAGGGATGTATGAGAGGAATCCATGAGAGGGATGTATGAGAGGAATCCATGAGAGGGATGTATGAGAGGAATCCATGAGAGGGATGTATGAGAGGAATGTATGAGAGGGATGTATGAGAGGAATGTATGAGAGGAATGTATGAGAGGGATGTATGAGAGGGATGTATGAGAGAGATATATGAGAGGAATGTATGAGAGGGATGTATGAGAGGAATGTATGAGAGGGATGTATGAGAGGGATCCATGAGAGGGATCAATGAGAGGGATGTATGAGAGGAATGTATGAGAGGGATGTATGAGAGAGATGTATGGGAGGAATCCATGAGATGGATCTATGAGAAGGATCTATGAGAGAGATCCATGAGCGGGATGTATGAGAGGGATGTATGAGAGGGATCCATGGGAGAGATCCATGAGTGGGATCTGTAAGGGAAACCCTTGAGAGAGATCTATGGGAGGGATCTGGTGTGTCACAGCTCACTAAGCTAAGTTTCAGAAGCTTTCTCGGGCTAAACTGAAAAGTGGTTTTATGAAGGAATCTATATTTGTATTCCTCCAGCTCTTCTTCAATGCCTCGTACACACACCGGCAGACGCCTCTATTGCCCAGCAGGGCCAGTCTGGGCTGCTCCTAATAACGGCAATCTACTTCTCATGCAAGTTCTCCGCATTGTCAGTGAATTTTGCAGTTACCTTCGTGTGTCCGAACTTGTACTGCGTTTGATCGAGATCGATGGAGGCCAGGAGCTTCTCGCAGGCCTTCTTACTGTCTATGAACTGTCCCTCGGGGATGGCGCTGGCGTTCAGTATACGGTACCTGTATAATCACACAGACAGAATATGAGAACCACAACCCCCAACATTCAGCAGAATGTAAGTATGAGTCCCAGTGAAGAGGTTCGCCTATTAGAAGACCTGGAGATCCACCCAGAGATCACCCAATGCTGGCAAAGATGTCAGATACCATCACATACACACAATCCAACCGCTACGCCATCTTTATTACTGAAATGTATTCTAGAAACATGCATCGGGTGTCCACACTCCCCGGAGAAGATATGACCATCATGTCTGCCCTCCAATAATGAAGATCTGGAACTTTGCTCCATCAATATCAATATTTGCCCTTTCAGGTATTTTTTAGGCTTTGGTCTGGCATCTCCCTCCAACGTAACGTCCATATTAAAGACCACCAGCCTCACCTTTGCTTGAAATCTCCATAGTGGATCCTGTTGGGAAATCCCTTCCTGCAAATCCGGATTCCCTCCAGCACACCGTTACACCTCAGCTGATGCAGCACAAGATGGTGGTCCATTTCACCTGACAAGAAGACAATAACAGTCACCCCCTCAGAACAAGATGTTCAATGGTGACAGCAACATTGGCAACAAACTGTTTGAGAGTAACTCCATTACAAAGACTAGAGGCCACCACCTTAAGTTGGTGGAGAAAAAATCGCAGCACAAGGGGCGAAGAGGGTTCTTCACAGTAAGAGCGGTTACGGTCTGGAACTCACTGCCATCGGCCGTCATCTTAGCCAAGAGTGCAGATTTGTTCAAGAAACGTTTGGACAATTTCTTGAGGGACCGTAATATCCGGGGGTACCAGTATCCCTAAGAATGAGATGATGGACCTGTATGGGTTGGACTTGATGGACCTATGTCTTTATTCAACCCCAAATACTATGTAACTATGTAAGCACAGCATTCTAGGAACGGCGGCAGCATCTCCAGCACACACACAGCATACCTGGAGTTTTAGTCTCATTAGGGATGAGGCACCTCACAAAATGGGGATGAGTGGTCCTCAGGTTGGACATCAGCTTGTTGAGGTTCTCCTGCAGGTTTAAAATCGACTTCAATTGTGGCAATTATTCTGAATATTTTTTTTCCCCTCCTAAATCTCTAGAGGAAACCTAAAATTTAGACACAGTAATTGTAACCCCCCCCCCCCAGTTGAGGTTCTCCTGCAGGTTTAAAATCGACTTCAATTGTGGCAATTATTCTGAATATTTTTTTTCCCCTCCTAAATCTCTAGAGGAAACCTAAAATTTAGACACAGTAATTGTAACCCCCCCCCACCTGGCGACCATTATCATTGAAAGTGGAAGAAGATCCCAAATATGGGGACAGGAATAGATGGGAAATCTTCCAATGAGGATGCTAGTTCTGGTGACCACCAAGGGTTTCCCTCTAACTTCTGACTACATCCGTACCACCAGAACTAGGTCACTGATCCCAGATTGAACTGTAATATTTTCATCAAAGGATCAGATGAGGTTACCCTGAAAAGCGCAGACACGGTCTGAAATGAGGAGCCTTTCTTCTTCGCTCCTTTCTTGGTTCCCTCACCTGGAAGAAGAGACAAATGTATGAGAGTCACTAAAGAATCTAAAACAATCCCACCGCCTGTTGGATCCCAGGACTCCATGTGCAGTGCATCTTCCATGTCCATGTCAGCATCTAGAAGAGACTTTCCCCACTCACCAGGTTCTAATGTGAGACTGTGGACTCTCCTTCTATGGTAGCCCAGATCCATACAGAAACTCCTTCAAATGTCTTCTCACTTCCTCAGTTAATATTCAGAGTTCCCCGGGATCTCCAAAGCTCAGGCATTCTATTATGTGAATATCGAGCACTGATTTTGAGGTTGATACCTGGCCCAGCTTTTCTCCCCCCTCCCTGTGTTCCTGCGGATGGATTGCCTACTTGGCCAAAAGGAAGACATTGTAGGTGAAAGGGGTCATGTCAGGAGTCTGGCTATGGAAGCTATGAGTGTCTATGTTTATAAAACAGAACCTCTGATTTTTGGGGCTACCTAAGCAGTCTATAGATAACCCAAGCACATGGCTAGGTTCATGGAGATATCTGCTCTGAGGGTTTGGGACCACCTTGGAATGTAAGCCGAGCCCAAAGGTTCATCCAAAGGCTTGTGTGGTATTTGTGTGCTCTGTAGGTGTTAATATTGAGGAGGTGTGATGTATCTGTGGTTCATATTTTGCAATGGGCCCCAGAGGTGTATATTGAGATAAATAATAAATGTCAAGTCAAGACATTTGACCTGAAGTATTTGCTGCAGAGAGCAGCCGCCATCCAGAGTCACTGAGTGACCAGACAAGCAGCCATAGCTCTAGTAGAAATGAAAGTAGTACCCAATTAGACACCTACTTGCATCAGTTGCGGCATAGGTGGCATACAGATTGGCCAGAATTTTCATGGAAGATTTCTGGTAGAGTCCCACCACGGTTTCATTCAGCGGGTCCTTGTTCTTCTCCAGCCAACCCTTGATGTTGTAGTCTACTGTCCCGGCATAGTGGATGAGGGAGAAGTGAGCCTCGGCTTTGCCTTTGGCCACTTTTGGCTTCTGAAAATTGCTGGACTTGCCCAGATGTTGGTCGTGCAGCTTGTTCTTGAAGGTAGTGTCAGTCGCCTTGGGGAACATGCACTCCTCTTCCAGGATGGAGAAGATGCCCATTGGCTAGAGCAGGAAATCAAGCTTAACATTTTCTTTTCTTGGATGTAATTATTGTCTAATAATAGGCACCCACCTCGCTGAATATACTGTACATACCTTCTCAATAAGCTCAATGCAGGCGGCCAAGTCCATGCCGAAGTCAATGAACTCCCACTCGATACCTTCCTTCTTGTACTCCTCTTGTTCCAGCACAAACATGTGGTGGTTGAAGAACTGCTGCAGCTTCTCATTGGTGAAGTTGATACAAAGCTGCTCCAAGCTATTCAACTGAATGAAATGATAAATCTTAATGATAATGAGTCTGTGACATCACCATGTGACAGCACCCCGTGACTGCCCAATTGTCCCCTAAATACCCCCCATGTCTGGAGGAGGAAACTTCAGATGTGCAACTGTACTAGACAACCTGCCCGGACACTGCTGGGATTTAATAGGCCGGTAATTCTCCCTTACAGCCAGCAATGATAGTGTGATCTGTATAAATATTGTGTGGATTGCAATATCTTTAAAAGTAGGACCAAGATCTGGAATGAAATAGGCATGGCATATAGTGTCCCACCTCCTATAGCCAGGGAGTAGAGTGTCCCACCTCCTATAGGCATGGCATTGAGTGTCCCACCTCCTATAGCCAGGGAGTAGAGTGTCCCACCTCCTATAGCGAGGGAGTACAGCGTCCCACCTCCTATAGACATGGCATTGAGTGTCCCACCTCCTATAGGCAGGGAGTAGAGTGTCCCACCTCCTATAGGCAGGGAGTAGAGTGTCCCACCTCCTATAGCGAGGGAGTACAGCGTCCCACCTCCTATAGACATGGCATTGAGTGTCCCACCTCCTATAGGCAGGGAGTAGAGTGTCCCACCTCCTATAGGCAGGGAGTAGAGTGTCCCACCTCCTATAGGCAGGGAGTAGAGTGTCCCACCTCCTATAGGCAGGGAGTAGAGTGTCCCACCTCCTATAGGCAGGGAGTAGAGTGTCCCACCTCCTATAGGCAGGGAGTAGAGTGTCCCACCTCCTATAGGCAGGGAGTAGAGTGTCCC